TCTTTTTCTTTTCTTCTATTTTTTTGTTGGCTGCAATCATGCTTGGCTATCTTGGCATGGGATTTAGAGTTTTGTGTGGCTTTTGCTTGCTTGAATTTCAAGATCTAGCTATTGTTGGTGTTAATTGAAGAGATGTTGTGTTTTTTGCATTTTCCTTTTCTTTTACAGATATGGCATAAGTTTGCAATATGATTGATTTTTTAAATCTTTACAGATCTGATATAAGTTTGCAGTGTAATTGATTTTTTGAATCAGATCTATTGGCCATTATTATTATTGTGTGAGGAACCAAATTTGGGTTCCATTAGAGAGGAGGTTTGGGGAAGAAGGAGGGGTTTGGTGATTCGGGTTCCATTTTCCTTTTAGTGATCATGTGTTGATCAGGAGTTAAAATCACCACTAACGGAGAAGAAAGGAGACGGAGAAGGAGGTGGAGATTAGAAATTGAAGAGGAGGAGAAACGAAAAGGTAGCAAGTGGAGAGAGAGGTAAGAAGTTGGCTTAGATTTCTTTTTGGTTTTTGGGTTTCTGGGTTAAGCCTATTTATAAAGGTAGGCATAATGATCAAAGTGATGTATGGAGATGGTGATTGAAGTGGTAAGGGATGATTGGAGCAATGAAAGATGATCGGTGCTAAGTGGGTTGCAAGATGAAGAGGCATCTGAGGATAGAGAAAGACAAGAAGGGAGAAAAAGAGGGGCGAGAAGATGAAGATGGGGGTATTTAAGGAATTTTAAATTTTTTAATATATAAATTAATTAAAATGATGTAGATAACAAAAATGTCATGGTGGATTAAATTATTTTCCACATAATTAAAGATTTAAAATAAGAATTGATTTCATAGCAACTTAACATGCCATTTGGCACTTCCATGGAGGGAAGGATCAAATTGGTCCTAAAAATTGAAGTTTAAGGATAGTTTTAGCACTTTTTGAAGTTCAAGAGTAGACTTGGTTAAAAAATGAAAGTTGAGGGACCAAACCGGGTGTTTAACCTTTGGAAAAAGTTCGCTTTTACCCAAACGCACGGAGGCAAAAACATGATCCAGCGGCCTAAGCCCACAGCACCCACCAAATGAAAACAGCGTGGTGCAGAAAGTTTTAGTGCCAATACAAAGTCGATTTCTTTCTCTCTTGTCCCTAGGAATCTGAATTCTGCGAAAATTAGTTGCGGCTCAAACTTGAAGTCGGGCAAGTTTTCCCCTGCTGTTTTGATTGTATTTTGTGCCTTTCTTCTATTTACTTGCAAAAGTGATTACTTCTCTTTTTGGTGGCTTTCAATGGCAAAAAGTCTTCAACTTTTTCATGATATATTTCTATGTTAAATAAGTTTGTTTTAGCATATTCTCTAATATGTAGAGGTCGTTGTGATGGGCAATGGATAAGTTATTGACCCTTTTCTGTTTCGCATTAGTGCCCTTGAACTGCTTATCCTTTTATGAATTCTTGATCATGTTTTATTTCCATTCTTACGCTTTTAACATTTAAGTAAGAGAAATTTATCTGTTCTTAATGCAATGGGGATTTGGAACTTCTTTGTGATTCTATAAAGGTTCACAGTGTGAATGTTGATGCACCAAAGGGGCAAAAAAAGTAAATTTATAAAAACCGAGGAAGATGTTTTGAACAGTATGCAATTGCAATGTGTTATGTTTTTGTTGCCAATATATATAATAATGAACATGCTTTTTTGCTTTTCTCTGTTAACCATGAGAGATTTGTTCTTGTGGGTCTGAAGCAATTTGATTAAGAAGAGACTTGAAATGTTCATGAAAGGAGAGTTTGTGTAATTTTTAAGTTTATGTGTTCTTACGTATAGTGATGAATTAAAATGGTTCTATAATCTTTGTTAAATGAGATAACTTTAATCCTCAAAATTGGTTATCAAAGCAGTGTTTTAAGCATATTTAGGTGTTGGTTTGTTAGGCAGGAGACCAAGTGTTTTAGTTCTTATGAGTGATTGTGATTGAGAGCTAAGTTGTCAGCTCGATTGTATCAACAATACTATAGTTGCCTAACTTGTTTCCCATATTTACTGAGTCCGAATTGATTTCCTCTTCTCCGTGATGAATGGTGAGTTGTCAGTGGATTTCAACGCATCAAAGGATCTTATGCAGCCATTGTTGATTGCTTAAAATTCATCTGCTCTGGAATAAGCCCTTGAATCCCTTATTGAAGTTTCCAGAACTTCTGTTGGCCGTGAAGACCTTGCTTCTAGGAAGATAATCCTTACAATTCTTATGCTCGCTGAATCTTCTCATAACCCCTCAAGTCATCACCATTTCTTGCTCTATATAAAGCTCCTGTAGAACCTATGTGTTGGAGAAATTTCTAATCAAGATGCGTTTATCAAATATAATAGAGTTGGGATTCTTTCTTTTATTCTGAGGTCTTTGACTTTTGTTTCTGATCTAGATTCTGGGGTTATTCGTGCTGTTGTGCAACTTTTGGCAAATGTTTTGTTAGCTGGAAAAGAACATCAATGAGTGATATGGAATAAGCTCTTCCTGAATGAATTTTCTGTTCTAGCAAGAGTACAAAGTAAGGAGACTATTGATCCTTTGTGTATGGTTATTTATGCTTGTTGTGATGGAAACCCTGAATTTGTTGCTAAGCTCTGCAGTGACCCTAGTTTCCTCATCTTGGTAGAAATTCTTCACATTGTTTTTATAGGTATCTTTAGATGGGTTATTGTTATTGTTATTATATTTGTTTATGTTTCTAAGTCCTTGTTTCCCCTTCTTGATTGTTTTCTTATCAGTTGATTTTCAAGAAGATTGGTTTAAGTTACTACTTTCAAGAATGATGTGTTGAAAATATTCACTTCCCAATACTGTTCTCCAAATTCGGCAAAGTTAGGGCATCTCAAGATAGTGGAGATGTTGATTCAAGTTTTGATCTTTTCTCACCTGAATAAGCTTTTCTTTTAAGAGTGGCATCTGAGATTGTAAATGGGCTAATTGAAGAAATTATAATTCCTAACGAATTAGCATTATGTGTACCTGAGATATTTAAGAAATCAGCTAGGGTTGATTTTTCCTTCAGGGGAAAGTTTGCTCTTTCAATAGGCTCTACAGCCATTGATGTTCTTGGTTGTTCACTCACCATTTTGTGAGATATCTGTGCTCAAGATGGTTCAAGAGACAAGGGGGAGGATTTTATGGATGTTGTTGGTATGCTGCTATCCTCTAGATTGGTAGAACTTATGTTAAGTTTGCTTCGAGACCTTGAGCCTCCAACAATTATAAAAAAAAAAAGCCATGAAACAGAGGGAGAACCAATATGGAACAAGTTCATTTTTACTTAAGCTTTGCTTTTATAAAGGATTTCAGAGAGACTTGGTTGCAGTAATTGGCAATTGTGCATACAGAAGGAAGCATGTGCAAGATAAAATAAGGCAGGAAAATGACATTCTGTAGCTGCTGTTGCAACAATGTGTTACGGACGAAGACAGCCATTTTTAAGGAAGTGAGGCATTTGGTTTGTGAGAAACTTATTGGAAGGGAATGTAGAAAATCAATAAATGGTGGCTGATTTAGAGCTTCAAGGATCTATTGATGTGGCTGAACTTGCAAGACTGGTTTTAAGAGTTGAGGACAATCAAGGCACTCGACATGCGAAGCTTGTTAATGTTCCTGCAAAGTACCAGTTGTTGAAGAATGATTTGACTTCTGCCCGAAGAATTTTGCTGGCTCAAGTGTAAACAATGTTAGAATTTCCTATTTCCTTCAAGATTTGTACTATAAATCATTGAATAAAGCAATCTTTTAGGAATTTCTAAGTATTTCATTATTTCTTTAAATTTATTGAATACAACTTGGAAATTCCTAAATTTCATCTTGGGATTTCTACAAATTCCAAAATTAACTCCAAGAAACTGCTATAGGACTTCTAACAGTATATTTTCCAGACACCCAAAGCAAAGCTCCGAAGGAATTGGATAACCCTCTAGATGTTTTTCCTCTACGTCCAACAAAACTAACAGTATAGCTCAATTCCTCCCCCAGCTTCTTAAAACTCAAAACAGTAGGCTTAACCGTCACTATTGTATCCTTTGGTTCTTGCACTTGTACTGTATAACTACTTCTTGGAGCCCCAACATTTGTCACGGTCCTCTTGAATGTCACAGTATTGTTCTGAACATTGCCCTTAAAATTCACAGCAAAAGAAGGGTAATTCAAGTCACCGAGAGGAGTTCTGGTACTTGGACAACTGAAATGGCTACTGGAACCAGTAAATAAAGTTACTTGATCAGATGTGTAACCCAGGCTGCACAAATGGTTCAGATAGTCTACCTCTGTGATGTTATAGATCAGCCCTGGATTGGATGCAATTTCGGGATTAACATGGCCTGAACCAAATGCAAAAGGAGTTGCTGCAGATAAGGTTGCAACATCTAACATTGGGTTCTTAGTGTTGTCTAGTGTGTAGGCTGTTGTCATGAGGGCTGATTTGATGGCCGCCGGTGACCAGTTTGTGTGAACTGATTTGATTAGTGCGGCCATGCCACTGACATGGGGACATGACATGGAAGTCCCTGAAAGTATGTTGAATGGAACACTTCTCTTGTCACTGTTGGCATACGTCGGGCTACTCAAGGGAGGCCAGGCAGCTAGAATGTTCACCCCTGGTGCAGTTATGTCTGGTTTGATCACCTCTGGTCCAATCTTACTCGGCCCTCTTGCTGAAAACGCTGCCATAGAAGATGCACGGTTGCCGTACACTGTTCCATAAAAGGCAATGGAAGCTGTGGCCTTTTTGTTTGAAGAAATATACTTTTTGATGGCTTTTCCTGCGGTGGCACCGACTGCTATTGCCGGTAAAAGGTAAGCTTCTGCAATTAGCTCTTCTCCATGCTTGTCATCGTTTAACACTATCATTCCATCTCCGCCAGCTAGCTTCACATTGTCTGCCAATTCAGCACGACTGAAATTCCCTAATTCACAAAGTACAATCTTTCCTTTCACAAGTGTTCTATTTAGTGAACCTTGATAGCAGTACCCTGCATCTTCGTATCCGGCACTTTTCCCATACGCAATTGGTAATTGCATTGTTGACTTTCCGGTGTACAGAGATGAACCCTTAAAAGTTTGTCTATTTCCAAGCTTGACAGTAGCTAAAAAGCTCCGATCAAGGTAGCTTGCGGCCACAGTTGTGATCCAAGGTGCAGTGTTGCCGACAGAGGAGCTATATGGACCAGAATTGCCTGCTGAACAAGACACAAAAATCCCATTTCGGATTGCGTGAAATGCACCTATGGCAATGTTGTTTCTATAATAAGGCTTGTCATAACTTCCTAAAGAAAGGGACAACACATCAACCCCATCCAAAATGGCTTGGTCCATGGCGGCAAGTATATCAGAGCCAGCACAACCACGATGCCAGCATACTTTATATGCTGCAATTCTAGAGGTATATCTTATTCCACTCGCCGAGCCCTTGGCCAAACCCAGGAAGCTGGCATTTTTAACAAGACTACCTGCTGCTGTTGATGAAACGTGTGTTCCATGGCCTTGTGCATCTCTTGCAGATTTGTAGTCTTCAGTTTCATGGATTCTGCCGCCAGCAGCTTCATAGCCTTTGTAATATGCTCTGGCACCAATGAGTCTTCTGTTACAATTTGAGGCGGTGAAGTTTGTACCTTCCTCGCAAATGCCTTTCCACCTAGAGGGCACTGGAGACATGGTTGAGTCCTTGAAACTGTCATGTTCCGGCCAGATTCCTGAATCCACCACACCAACGATCACATCTGACTCTAAGTTTTTGGAATTCCATAAGCCTTTCCCCCTTTCGAGGCCAAGAAATTGAGGGGAATGTGTAGTGTGGAGTTTGAGCAATTCATCAGGAGTAGCAGACAGAAAACCATTGAGTTGTCTTAGTGATTCCAGTTGCTTTTTAGAAAGCTTTGCAGCAAAACCAGTTATTTTTTCGTATACATAAAGTAGCTGAGGAGACGATGCTGAATCTTCTTTTTGGGCAGAGGCAGAGGGATCAATGATAGAGCCAATCACTGCTTCATACCATTTTCTAGAATTGTCTTTGGATGCTATCTTGGCCTTGTCCATGTGAACTATATATGTCTGCTGCTCGTTGATCGATGTAGCAGTTGAAGTTGTTGCCATCAA